CCCGCGCTCAGAGGCGGCCCCGCGGGGGTGGCCGCAGCTTCAGGCCTGCCCCTCCCTCCTTCCCTCCCAACTTCCCTCCCTCCCCGCAGCCCCACCACGTCTGAGTTCGGATTCTCCACCCGAGTCGTCCTTCTTTCCCTTTGCCTCTCGTTTGGAAACGAGAGAGGTGGAGGGAGGCTCCCAGGCTGCACAGGAGAGGCCCGCCAAGTCTGCCCGCCTGCAAAGTGTTGCTTTGACACATCCTGATTATGGAAGTAAAGTGAAAAACAAAAAACAAACAAACCAAAAAACCAAAACCAAACAAACAAACAAAAACTCTGGACGTGGAGCTGCTACGGAGAAGGGGACCGGAGGAAAGGACACCAGCGGGCAGGCCCATGGTTTTTCGGCGGCGCGCTGGCAAGTGTGTGGAACACTTTCTAGGAATTAGGTCTTTTTCCTCCCCCTTCATCGTCTTGACTTCTGAAGAAAGAACTTGGCTTTGGATTGCAATGGAGCCTAAGGAAAGAGGGTTAGACACACTTGAATAATCCGTGCGTCTGGCTGGGCTGAATTTGTGGGAATTTAGGGAGCCAGAGTGGGGACATACTGCAGCCTTTGAAGTGTCCTCTGTTAAACTGGATGGATCTAACTGTGCCCCATTCAAGACCACTCCACCAACCCCTCTGATCCTGCGATCTGCTCTTCTTGACTTCAATTAGTCTCTAGGAAAGTCTAAACTTTGGACCTACCTCTTTTTTTGATACTTATTTTTGTACTTTTACTCTCTGGGATTGGTTTCATAAACAATCTGGATCCTTTTTAATATGTCACAATGAGTCTGCTGATGTTTACACAACTACTGCTCTGTGGATTTTTATATGTCCGGGTTGATGGTAAGCTAAAAGTCCTTTTATTCTTTTTTGCTTCCCCCTCACCCAACCCAAACCCATCTTTTTCTGAGTCGGGATGTGGGGTATAAATAAAACGGCATTATATCTAGGGGTCTGTTTTGGCCAGGCAGAGGCTCTTTGAGAACAGAGGTTTTTAAGTCTTTTGTTTCTTAACTGCTCTAAGTGGAACATGTCAGTACACCTATTGTTGTTATTGTTGTTTTAATTTACTTACTTAATGGAGCAGCTGGACAATAAATGGTGGACTGCCAGTTTGGTTGGAAAAGGAGATTTGAAAGTAAACCTCTTGAAAAAGCCAAGTATGATTGTGCCTGCTTTCCGCTGATGTTCCTTTTTGTGTCTGAACTTTGGCTAAGAAATTCAAGTGGAGAAATACAGTAGCAGACACTCCAAAAGAGGTTC